AATGGTTAAATTGTTTATTCATTAACTCTCTATTCTTATCCTATTATTTCTTTTTTTATCATTTTCCAAGAAGAAAGGCAATAATACCACTACAACACAAAGGCTTACTTAGAGTGGAAGGGAATACGAAGGCATTCGTGAGGAGATAGGACAATAAAAGAACAAATTTCAATTAGACCAATGATCGTGATTGACATTGAATTTAAATATTTGAAGATTCTATGTCGTAGAGAAGTAGTAAATCACAATAGTGTTCCACAGGTGGAAATTGCGAGAGAATAAACTATTAGAATAGAAATTACGGTTGCATCTAGCTTTTAACAACAGTTAAACGATGAGACCTAATTTCCAGTCCAGTAGTATACTTAAAGTTATGCATTTGAAGTACCAAGGAGGAGAGATCATTAAAACAACTAACATGAAAATATTTGTAGAAAATACACAGGGAAGACACTTCACGGCGGTTCGAAAGTCGAGATGCCAGGTCAGAGACAATAACAATGCATACCCGTTTGCTGAGAATCCTGAGATATATAAACGGAGTATTAGACTTGATACGACAGAAATATTCAATGTACGGACGAATGGTATAAATTTGTAAAATTCGCAAGTTTGAAAAAAGTGGGGGGAAAACATTTCATATCTAATTTATTTTCTTAGAAGTAGCTTCTTCTCAAACCTACAGCAAAACTGGAAACGCTGTAACACTTATACAATGTAATTTTTTTAAAAATAAATAAAATAAAATCCTTTATTTTTGTGGAGAACGGCGCACGGTTACCGTTCGTAGTATTCCAGTTCAGCTTTCCTTCAATCAGCCGACATTCTAATCTTCCTTCATTCAGCCTTTTGATAAGTCTAGTAGGTGAATACGCGTTTCATTCATCTCCTTGCCTTCCATGCAGTTTAGAAATTGGGATCTTCCCTCTCTTAGACGGGTTGCCAGTCAAATCTAGAGAGTTCAGTCTACACTACTATTTAGCTAGAGGAATTGAGACGGATTCATGCCTTTTTCCAAGGGCATTAATACGAAAGTGGGCGATAAATGTCTGTAAAATCCTTCTAATAAACAATATGCAACTGATATCACCAAAAATGCAAGCCGACAATGGCGGTTTAACCATCATGGCGTATAATGGAAATGCATTGAAGAGGAAGACAAATATATGACTTTTCTTATGAAGAAGATAAACTTGGCTATGTTTGTTGGAAACGAGGCGTAAAAGATTTCAACATGTGTTGGTTTAATAAGCGAAAAATAGAAAACCTTCAGCCGATAAACATGAAACTTTCTTATAAACACATAAGATGAAATAAGATTACTTGAGGCGGAACATTGACTTCACCTGCCGAACTGAATGCGTGGATTGCTGATCGAAGTTGAATCTATAATTTTTTATCAAAAATTGTGTTCCTGTTGATCTAAGCTAAATTATATTGGGAACGGTTCTAGCCATCAGGCTTTTGCTTTTGTTTGCGATGATGGAAATATTTGGAGATGAATCAAGTGTATGGACTCTTTTTAAGGTAGTGATGCGAACTTTTAAACTGTATAACGATGTAGATAAGTAAAGGAGATTGCTCACGAAATAACCCAATCACGTTTGGATACAGCGTAAATATAAGTAAGCGGTATTATGTGGTGTAATGTTTAGCGCGTCTCGGAATGAGAAATCGGCGAAGCAAGTTCGAATTACTGTCCTGTTCGTTTCATTTCTTTCCCATAAAATGAACAAATCCCTTCTCCCTCAGCTTTGGGTTAAAAAAGTAGGACAGGGCTCTTCGTTGAAAACCTGTCTAGCAGAAGGACAACTCGGAATTCAAAAACGTATTAAAATCGCAGGTGGACAGCCTATCCACTGATTGCCTCATACTCCTCACTCTCCAGAACTTGAGTCAATGTTAAATGCACGCCCACACAAGGTCGAGTATAAATTAGGTTTGTAGCTCACGTGAACATTATTTTTTTAAGCATATCACATGAAGTAAGGCGGGAGTGCCACTAGCACACAAGGGTTTACAGGGAGTGAGAACAAGATTAAAGAGGCGTGTTTGAGGAAAGGATAAAGAGAAGGACGGGGAACAAGATCAAGATAGCAGAAGATGTCGATTGACATTACCTTTGAATATTTGAATATTATAGCTATCAGTGAAGGAAGTAAAAGGAAGGAAATTCAACTGTCGGGAAGTGTGAGCGAAGAAGCTTTTGAAATAGAAGAGGTTGTTATATTTAACCGTTCCGAAAGTGAAAGGGTGGACACCGAGATGCCAATTTATTAACACACTTAAATTCATGCAGTTGGGTCATCAAAGCAGTTGTCATGAAAATATTTGTAGAAAAGACAGGAAAGACAGAAGTCTGTGAGAGGGTAACTGTAGATGAGATGTCAGTTCATGACCTATCACATTGTATATCCATCTCTGGATTTTCTCGAGGACCTCGTGATGAACAGCGGGGGGCACCAGACCATATATGGCAACAGTATTCAATGCAAGGACAAATAGTAGATTTGTAGTTTTGAAGGGATGGAGAGTCAGGTGAGAGAACCAACTTTCCCTGTTGTAGATGAAGCCAGTGATTCAATATAGTTGTTCCACCTCAAGTCAGTGGAAAGCGTCAGACCAAGCAGGCACAGGGAGATGCTGTCTTACAGTCGGTCATCAATCATTCTGATAGGAGGCAGGGAGGGGTCTCTATGGTGGGTAAATGGGTGAAGTTTCGTTTTGGAAGCATTAAAGTTTACATTTTTAAAGAATATCCTAGCTTTAAACGTCTATTATGACTTATTTTCACCTCAGACCTCAGGTGGGATTCATATATATGTTACATCTCTAAAGATACTAGAAAAATGGTCTTTTCATTGTATTGCTTATTCCTGATATTGTCTAAATATACAAGAGAGAGGTCAGATCATCACTGGGGTAATGCTTCCATATCTAGGCTGGGGATTTGCAGGTCGGGTACACTAAAATCAAACAGATGCGGAAGTTTAAATATCTGGAAAGCGTTCTGACAGAGGACGGTAAGTATCACACTGAGATCCGTAGACGTATTGGGATAGGCAAGGGCGCATTCCAGAAGATAGGCAAAGTATTGCGTGACAGGAGTATTTCTTTGGTAACAAAAAAAAGAATACTGAGATGTTGCGTGACCTTCTTTACGGCTGCGAATGAAAATATTTCTAGAGAAACACATGGAAGCCATATGAGGTCTGTGAGAAAGTGATTGACGTCGAGATGACAGGTCAAGAACTAAGTGCACAAAGTTCCCAAGCCCCCTTTATACTTCAGTTTTTGGGGTCACCTCAGATATCATGTAATGATTTTTCCCTCTTCTAAAGTGGAGATATGAAATGAGGACAGCACTTAATATGTAATTTAACCACCTCTGTTCTGGAGGCATTAATGTTTTAATTTTCTCATACGAAATTTATTTTGTACATAATTAAGTCAATGGGATATAAATTAAAACTCGTGAGAATTAGACCATGTTAGTATACATAGTTTAAAATTTTGATTTGATGTTAAAATTTACTCTCTTTGTTGAAAATTAACATCTGCCTACCCGCACAACAACTTTTATATGGTTACTCTTAAACCTCAATCTTACTTTAAATTACTTATTAGATTATCTCTGTTAATACTACAAAAATGCTCTCTTTGTTATGGCTTCCAAAGTTATGTCAGTACAAGAGAGATTCTAATGTTGATTTAATTTTATACGTATAAGTGAATTGTATCGATAAACGTCTGAATCCAAATCAACTTCAATAGCAGGTTTATGAAATTTACTGAAAATCATTTCCAAAAAGCACTACGTTTGCTTTTGCTCTTCAAAAGTGTCGATAATTTATATGGATGAGTTTGTCTTTATTCAGGGCTTATCCAAAAATGAAGAGAGCTTTGTTTGCAACTGAGATTATTTGCGTCTATGTGCAATTGGTAAAAGTGGATATTGAGTAGGGATTCATTCACCTGAAACAAATGTCTAGTAAGATAGAAACGAGGGAAAAGATTGCAATCATTCCCTAGATATTGACACTGATTGGAACAATGAATGTCATTTACCCGAAGCCGAACTGGCCATCGTTGAAAAAAAAAAATGATCGTAATAAATCTTTACGGAGATAACTCCAAGCGGAAATTATCCTAGATAAACTGAAAATTGTTTCTTTAATGTCATTGTTAGCGAGATAATTGAAAATGAAGGGAACGGAAAATCTGCAAGAAAAAATAGAAAAAAGATTTAAAATGGCACGAATTGAACGAAACGAAGCTTTGTCCACATCAAAAATTCGAGATAAAAAGATAAGATTAACTTAACCTGTTATTAGGAGACATGAATTGATAGTTGTCTATTAAGATTTGGGATTTTACGTATGCCAAGTAATATTCAGACATTTTAATTTTTCTTACAGCTTTAGATGTCTCAAAAATGAACGACATTTCATTGATTAGCTAATATATTGATTGATAGCATTCTCTCTCACTCCAAAGAATAGATTCACCAATAGCAGATATATGACTATATGGTCGTGAATTTTGAATTGTGTCTGTGAGAAAGAAGAAACGGAATTTCTGTAAATGATTGAAACCCTGCCAATACGGAGTCAGTATTTTGATTTGGAGTGAAAAGAAAATCACCATCATAACGTACATCGTCATTGTCGTTCTGTTTATCTATCATAATCTTTTTGGAATCCATAGTGTGCATTGATTTCTTGTACATTTATAGCTACTGATCCAGAAACTATTTATACTGTTTGCTTATCACTGGAAAAACCATTCCTTCAACACATTAAATAAGTCTACGTTTCAATACATAGATATTCTTGCATACATAATATACCTTTCTATATTGACATATATGCATATATTACTAATATTTTACATTTTGTATCCGTGTGCATATAAATATACGAAAATTTTCACAGACACGCACGAACGCGCACATATACGCACGCACGTACAAACACACACAGAGTATTAAGGCCTCATCGCGTTGAAACACCGCTTCCAGTAAGATCCCCGTGGTGAAGCAACGCCAAGCCTGTTCAGTACCAAGATGGGTGAGCGCTTGGGAATATCAGGCGCTTGGATGTACTGGTGGTTTAATGAATTGTTAATGGGAGAGGTGAGTTCAAATTCCAGTTATGATCGTTATATTTACTAACGTACAAATAGATTTGCGTACAAAAATATTTCTACTTAAATTTTTCCATTAAATAACCAATATAGGTCAATATGCCGCTAAACACACACACACAAACAGCTATATCAATATATGTATAGGCGTAAATTAGTAATTATATTACAAAAACAACATAAAAATTCAACATTTATTTCCTTTCGTTTATTAAGCAATAAATTATATAATTTAGGTTCCTCCATAGTTTAACTTTCTTTACATTTGCACTTAAAAAGTATCTTAAAATTGTCAGTTTGAAAGATTAATGATATTATTAGGTCCACCTTCTTCTATAGAGATAAAAATTACGAACAAAACGTCCACACTTATACATAACGTGTCTTGTGTGTGTGTATATATATATATATATATATATATATATATATATATATATATATATATATATATATATATATATATGTCCTTAGCAACTAGGAAAAAACTAGAATTTAGAAAACGCTAAGTTGCTAAGGACATTTTGTCTGTGTCAATAGTTAATTTGTTTTTAATATACATACATATATATATATATATATATATATATATATATATATATATATATATATATATATATATATATATATATATATATTGTGCATTGGGACAGGAGATCATTATTCAAACATATATTGTTAAATATATCAGTCAAAGAATGTCTATTATGTTTGATCGTCTAAACTTCATAAAGTGGCTTCAGTTTTGATAGAAAATAAACACAAAAATTGTCCAAAATTTGAATACATTTTATTATGCTGTTTCTCGATTTAAGTTCTCGATCCACATGAGCCATCATCAAAACGGTTATATGCACATACAACCGCACTGATGACATGTGGGTTTTTGTGTGTGTGTACCGTGTTCGTAATATGTATTTGGAACAAATGAGACATAGAGGAAAATGATTTTAAACGACGCTTTCCGCCGAGTTGACGTATGTCGACGTATTATGCATTCGGTTTCTTACGGTCGGAATATAAGACAACATTCTGTGAGGAAAACATGTGATTTTGGAGGATAAATGGAGCAATAGATAGTAATATATGCATATATGTCAATATAGACAGGTATATTATGCATGTAAGAATATCTGTTTTTCCATATGAGATCTGTCGACCAATGATTATAAACTGCTTATATATATATATATATATATATATATATATATATATATATATATTCCGTTGTTGACTTTTAGATTTGAACTCAGTAGATTTGAACTCCGAGTAGATTTCTGTTTTGTCTTTGTTTTTTTCTCTATTGATACATGTACCCGATTGTGCTACTTTTGATTGTACGATGATCTGTGCTAATATGTACGGTCCTGGTCTTTACTTTATTGTCGAGAATTTTGAGTTCAGTAAATCTATTTCTCTCCTGATCAGACTGGAATTTATTAAGTCCAAACTGATGTCAGATTTATATCGTCGGTGAGCTACCAGAGTGTTCAATGTGATGTTATGCTCTATAAAACATACTTTCAAAGTCACTGGAAGATTGCCGTAATACAAAAGAAATATTTAGATTAAAAACAAATCCATTGGATATAACATTTCAGCTGATAGTGCTGTTTTACAGCTCTTAAGTGCGACTATACATCCGTAAATCTCAAGCCAGGATTGAAACCCAAACGATTTGGTGTCATTCAGCGTTCCTACCATGGAGCTATCTTCGCTCGACAGGTTAAGCTTGCCAAATCCAGCATATTGCTTTTAGAAATGTAAAGAAATGCCCAACCGGAGTGCTGCATTCATTTTACTGATTTTTTTTTCATTTTAAATCAGTAGGGATTCCGGGGTGCTGCGGGCCGACAAGGATTTTAACTCCGCAATGAAAATGTATTGAAAAATTGGACTAACAACACAAGACAAGATTGAAAGAAACCAAAGGTTAAGTTATATGCCAAATTTTATTTCGACACAATAAATACAAATGCTGAGTGGGTGTTGGAGATAAAGTAAAAGTCGTCCCTGGGTCAGTCAGTCTTCTGGTCTAGTAATCTAGTAAAATGGACGAAAGCAGAGTTGCTGGTCATTCGCGGGCCCGCTGGTGATGCTGAGGACGAAAGCGGAGGCTGGTCAGCTGCGGGTCCGCTGGTGATGATGACGAAGGCGAAGTGGCTGCGATGACAGAGGCTACGGCTGCTACTGCTGGCTCGACCCCGTGATCCTCGTGCTGAACGGGCGAACTGTTGATGCTCTCATGTCAGCGGATGCCGGTCAGAGATTTTTAAAAAATTATATATTTTAGTAAATATTTTAGCATCGAAGTTATACCAATATATACTGTCGAGAGATCAGTTTCTTTACTGAGACTCTCACTGTATCGGCATGTATTTTATTGATTTCCCTGATTGAATGAAACGGGCCAGAAAAAACATGTGTAACCGCTATTGCTTATAATATTATATATACTTATATATAGGCACCGCTACAGATTCGCTAAGAAATGAGCATACCATGATGGAAAAAATGCCCCAAACTTAATACAAACATCCAATTTTTTATATTATTAATAAAAAGAAAGACAAAAGGGATTTTTTATTATTAAATTATATTTTCTGTATACCTTTTCGAACCTTCAAATTTTTGTTAAAAATTTTACTTTCCTTGCATCAGCGAGGAGAGGCAAAGATTTAGTGTAGGACATTTTAATGTCCTTTTGCTGTGAAAACAGATAGATTTGGAAATTCTTGCAATAATAATAATTGTTGGATAAATGAAACTTTCATGAATTAATCACAAATTAATGAAATTATTTTAGAACTGTTAAGTTTTTAGAAAGTCTTAGTAAAACACCTCCAGCAAACACCACTTTATTTAATTTTAGGAAATGTCTAAAAATTAATTTTTGTGTCGCTGAATGTTTATATTTCTTATACACAGAACTGATTAGAGAATTTATTTTCTTTTTTGTGAAACAGGTCCCACTGTTACCGAAAATCTGTTCTGAATTGTAAAATGAAAATGTAGTAAAAATATGATATTAAAAACAAAAACTTTTAATTGCTTTTATGAATAATATATATTATAGGCATTTTTGTTTTAAGAAAAAAATCGATGAACAATGAATATTTACAAGAATAGTTTTTATTTGAATGTGCAGACGACCATACACGAAATTATCAAAAATAAGAGCGATAACTATAGTAAATTTAAAGCCAAAGTGTATAGAATTCAATAAGATATTAGATTACTGAGAATATTTTCCTAAGTTTTAAAATTCCTGGGTAGTTAAAAATTATATAAAAAATTGTTAAATTATGCATTACTGCAATATTTAAAAATGAAAATACGTAATATTTGTTCCCAATTAAATTAACCTTTAAATCAGCTAATATATCTCAAAGAAAGTTTCAGAAATGTATATTATATTTTTGTAAGATTTTTTTTTAATTAAGGACATTCTAATAACAGATAACTAAAAATGGGAAAAATCAGGTACTTTCAAAATGAAAACATCTTCCAGTCAATTTAAATTGGTTTTGAAATAGAGTAATGCATTTTTATTGGATATATTAAGTGTAAATTGAAATGAAGAAAAAAACAAAAAACTTCAAGAATGACTTTTTATTTTAAAAAATATTTTAAACCTAATATATTATGAATCGTTGAAGGTACCTACTTATATGTGTGTGAAATAAATGGATTTTTCATCATTAAACTATGAACCTGTTGTTTTAAAATCATCTGCGTAAATCTATATTATAAAAGAAGGACTATTATCTGTTCGGGACACGCAGTGTATGAGTGATTTTCCATTCACAGGCGTAATGTATAGGCTTGTGTCTGTGTTGTAAGTGAGTGATTTGCATGTGTTTGCGTCATTTGGTGTTCACAGAAGCACAAACATATATGTTCACACAATGTGACTGATTTGGGAATATGACACTTGCATAATACACACCCCTCTCATTCACTCTGGACAGTTCTCTACTGAGTTCACCAATAAAATCATGACTTCCGAGATAAGAAAAAAAAGACGTGATTTTTTTTAACTCTAAGAGAAATTATAAGATTTCATGGAAATTTTCAGAATTTTTTTAGTAATAAATATAATTATTTTAAAAAGAATTGAAAAAAAAGTTTATAGAAATTTAGTCTGCTGTTGAAAGAAAATATGCAAGCGAACGCGCGACAATATATATATATATATATATATATATATACAATTGGAATGAAATTGAAATAGTTTGTTGCATGCCGAGGGCAATTTTCTCTTCCTCTTCGACAACAGTACTTTGAAGTCTTTTGGTTATTAATTCTACATTTGAACTGGATTAAAATTACAATTAAATATATATTTTTAGTATAAGTATAATTTAAATAGAAAAGCAATTTAGATTTGTTGCATTCAGTTAAGTGACATGTACTGAAGTAGATGTAAAAGAACTGACACTATAAAAAGAAAACTAAAACACCTATCAATTCGGCATTTAATCACCTTCGAAATAGTCCTTTTCTGAAGCCACATCCTTTATCCAACGACGTTTCCATTGACTGAAGCATTTCTGAAACGCCTTTATTATTTGGTAACAGCATGCAGTTGCCTCATCGCATTCTTTTGGATTTCTTCGACATTTTGAAATCTTGGTCCTTTTTTTAGGATTTGATACCTGAAGTGGAATGCCACAAAGGTCGAGTTTAACGATTAACCCTATCCTTGAACAGGTTAATATTATAGTGATCGGGAAAAGTCCTGTTAAGAGTAGGTCCCACAGGGACCTGGGAAGTGTGGTGATTATCGGACCAATGGAATGATGAGCGTGAGCAAACAATGGTTTACAAGCTAGGGTCACTGATGGAACCTCGGTTGTGTGGTGCGACGACCAAACTTTGCACAAAATCTTTCCAAGCACTGTTATATTCAACAGAACGGAAAGAGTATGTTATAATTTAGAGTGTATGCA